CATTTCTCAAAAAGTACTTTAAAGTGTATAAATAAGTTACCCGGGCAATTGATCTACATCAGCCAATCAGACGAATTTCTGTCTATGACTTGTAATCAGTTACACGAACCGAATAATTTCGGCAAACCGATTGTTAATCGGTTGGAAATTTTTATATCCGGTTCAAGTCACTAAACTCAATTCGCATCAATTGAAAAAAACGATGGTTATTTTTTCGTGTAATTTCAACTATCATTAACTATCATGGAGGCAGAGCCCTCTCGATCAGAAATAACTGAAATAAATTCTACATTACTTGAGGCTACATCGCCTCCACTAATGACAGGACGTACAAGATCAATTCTTCACAGTTAGTTTTGACGCGTTTTTTTCTAACTATAAACACGACAACTTTTTTTGGAAATGTATACATTTTGAAAGTTGAACGCATACTTTTTCTTGTATACTTTAGTCGAATGTTGTTTAAAGACTCACAGTACAATAAGATACGACGTGATACGTGAACAAGTCGAGAAATTTCTACGTGAATTTAAAACTTCACTGTTATGTCATTCTGAGATATCAGATTTTCAGGATGTAGCTTTACTTAAAGAAAATGTAGAATATATGATTGTTGCCGAAGCCGGATGTAAGTCTATATATACGTGGCAAATAGTTATCATATACCATTTATATACCATTTATATTTATATAATATTTACATTTAAAAATATTAAGGCGATACGTCTGATATTCAAATTCTAGAGAACGTAGGTTTGGATATTCACGTGTATCAACTTAATGAAGATGATGTAGTGGAAGAATATCAGGAAGAGGAAAACGTTTTAACAGCTAACTATTGGGATTTACCAGCACGAGCACTCGACGGCTTATGGGATAAGTAAGTAGTAATAAAGAGTTTATTTTATATAAATATATATATGTATATGTATATTATGTGTATATAGGAATTTAAGAATAATAATATTTAATTTTCGAACAGTCTCATATTTGACGAAAATATTAAAACTCGATTGCTTGATTACGTTTACACGACAATTTTATTTTCTGATCGAAATGTGAATTCAAATATTATCTCATGGAACAGGTGAAATTTCTTATCCGCGTAATTCATACGCGTTTTTAATACTCTCTCATAGAAATTAACATAAATTTTTTTTAGAATTATTCTGTTGCATGGACCACCAGGAACAGGAAAAACAACACTTTGTCGAGCTTTTGCACAAAAATTATCTATTCGATTAGCAGAGAGGTAAGAAAATTATAATGATTATAAATTAATACATTATGCTAATCTTTTTTTGTAAAATAGATATTCTCATGGAAAGTTATTTGAGATAAATAGTCATAGCTTGTTTTCTAAATGGTTCTCTGAATCTGGAAAACTGGTACAAAAATTATTCCAACAGATTTACGATTTGATAGATGATGATGATGCATTTGTTTGTATTTTAATAGGTAAAATTATTATTATAAAATTATTATATAATCATTATTAAAAGAAAAATCTACAAAGGTAGTATTGTGTATCTTTATGCATTTTAGACGAAGTGGAAAGTTTGGCAGCTACTAGAAGATCAGCGTTATCTGGAGCAGAACCATTGGATGCAGTTAGGGTAACTTACAATATTTGTTTATACCCCTTAATCAACGAATTATACATAACACAATTATACGTATTATCAGGTTGTCAATGCCTTATTGACACAAATAGATAAATTGAAACAAGAAAAGAACGTTCTTATACTGACCACCTCAAATATCACAGAAGCAATAGGTATATCATTATCAAAAATACACATATAATATATACTTGCCGCCCAAATCCCAAAATATTACAAACTATTATAGTTTGGGCTAATAATATTCATTTAAACAAAATATATATTTTTTATAACTATATAAAATATATATTATAAAAGTAATTTGGGTTTGGGATTTGTCCGGGTTTTGCCAGCAAGTATACATATATACATATATATATATAACTTAACATTTAATGTAACATATGTATACATATATAGACATTGCCTTCATTGATCGAGCCGATATCAAACAATATATTGGTTTGCCGTCACAACAAGCCATTTATGGCATCTTATCAAGCTGCATAAGGGAGTTAATGAGAGTTAAAATAATTGCTGAGGAGGTAAATATTTGGATTGAATTCACAAATCATTTCGAGGTACATTAAATTTCTTTATTATTTAAAGGCGTTTCTGCTTGACTGGCGTGCTGTGGAATTATATCAACATACAAATAGCATTGATGATCCAAGCATTAGACTTTATGCTATTTGCGGAAAATGTCAGGCAAGTAATATATATTATATATAATTAAAAAATGAATTTAAGTAGTAAAATAATTTTATTACATTTATTATATTTATTATATTTATTATATTTATTATATTTATTAGGGAATGAGTGGACGTACATTACGTAAAATGCCATTTTTAGCATACGCCCACTTTCTAAAATCATGGGCCACGACGACATTGAAAGACTTCTTGAAAGCTTTAGAACATGCAGTGGATAATGAAACTATTGGAAGAAAATTAACATTGGAAAATCAAGGTGAAGGCGGCACATGTAAAATGTTGATTAATGAACGAAATTAATTTTATTTAATTATTGAATAATAAGAATAATAGAATCGTGACATCAATGTTATTTGTTATAATAAATTATAGTATCGATATGTTTAAAACTACGTAATTCTTGCCTATATAATAACCTTATTAAAGAAATTTTTATTCCCTACTTAAACTACCTACGTATTACAATGAATGTATTGCTTTGAGTATAATAAATATAAAAATAAATATAAAAAATATAATAAATTTTACTCTAATTTATGCGCTTTTATTATCCTAGACAATAATACAGTAAATATTAACCGGAAATTCATAAGACATAATATAAAATGTACAAAGGTTTGTAATAAATAAAAATTGAAATTGATATTATATTTACTAGATAAAATAATATATTCAATAAATAAATATATAACTTATATATAATCGTTATTATCGTTATGAAACCATCTTCCAGCACCTCCATATCTTTCCATTTGCCTGGTAACACTTCGAACATTTGTAGCACTATTAACTTCTTCTTCTTGAGTTTCCTCTTGTTGAGCTTCATCTTCAGATTCTTCACCTTTTAATTTTCTAATTTCTTTCTTTAATTCTTTAATTTGAGAATTCATATCATTAAATTGTAATTGAAAACCTTTTTGTATATTAAGAACAAAATGATAAAGATCATCAACAGTTAATTCAGGAGCAGTCTGTTCAACAGACTTTGTTTCTTCATCTTTTTCAAAATCATCAGGAAAATATTCAGCAGGAAGTTGATGAGAAATAGGGGAAGAAGGAGCTAAAGTAGGAAGTGAACTAAGTAAAGATTGAGACTTTTCAGAAATAGGATCAGATAAAGATCTATTTTGAATATCTTTAACATTATTAGGTTTTTTAAATTTAAACCTAGATGTAAGAGTTTTACCAAGATTAAAATAATTTTTTCTTTTTTGTTGAGATTGATAATCAAGGGGTAATGATTTTTCAATAATATTATTATTATTAGTAGGAGACATTGAAGAAGTTTTTGAAATTTCATTATTATATAAATCATAAGTATTTTCTTTAGGAGATAGTGGTGGTGAAAGAGGACGATCATTATTTTCATTATTTGGAGAAGAAATAAAAGATTCAGGATTAGATTCTTCATATTCATCATTATCAGAACGTTCATCAATAAGAAAAGTATTTTTTTCAGGAATAGGTAATGGTATTTCAGGTTGTTCATTCTCTATATATTCATCATTTACGATATAAGTATCTCGACCAGCTGTTCTATATCGATCATCGTAAGCCTCATGATATTGAAAGGGAATGCTTGGTAGGCCCTTTTGACGGTTAGAACGAAGATTACTTGAGGTATTCATTTAATGTCTAAGAAATAAAAGTTTATTATTAAAAATACTGTAAAAAGTTTTTAGGCTCAGCCTTTTTTTATTTGAAGGGATGGAAAAAAAAAAAAAAAATTTTTGAATAAAATTAAGAAACAAGAGTAAAGAAAAAAAAATTAAATTAATTCTGTCGAAAAAATTTTCAGAAGTAACTTAATTAAATATTCATTTTCTACAATTGAATAAAATTGAATAAGAAATAAAGACTGAAACAACTTGTCCAACTTGTGCTACGTCATATATAATATAAACGGAGTTGATCAACTTGTATTCATTATCTGAGACCCCTTTCTTATCCTACTGTAGTAAAAGTGAAAACAATGCGTACATTAGGTCATTCATATGAATTGGCATAAACATTCTGATAACGATAAAAAATTCTTTTCACGTCATCTGTCAGACTTTGACTGTGCCTTCTAATACCGTTAAAAGTCAACATGTAATTCAAAGTTACACAAAGATAATGAAATGCACGTCTATTAATCTTAATATAGGAAAGATTCACAAGCCTATTTGTATTACTTTTTTGTAAAAATTTAATTTAATTAAATTATATACGTACCGATATGTATCGATATGTATCGGTACTATATCTGATATTAAATTAAAGTTTTTTCTATAATGATAATTAAGGAATTTCAATATTACATAGTAGAAACTGCGCTACATGTGGTTAACGTGCTTTTCATCCATTTAGTATTATTACTGTATTAGTCATGATACAGATATGTATATTGTATAATGCTACGTTTAATTTGCTAATATAAAAAATAATTTCGGGTTAGAACTAGGAATAGTATTAGGTAAAATTGCATCTTCTTATTGGTGCCAAATACAGTATAAGCCATTTTCTTTTGTTTTTTTTTTGCATTTTTGTTTCAAATAATTTGATCAAATTTGTAATAGATAACGTTGTCATTATATAAAAAATAGACAATTACGTACAGTACGTACGTGCTTGGAATAACAAAGAAGAGTATGAACAATCATTATAACAGACAAAGAAGATGAATTACATATACTGTATAATAGATTTTTTTCAATACTTAATATTATTTATACCTCATTTAACGTAATGACATCTGTCATTTTATTTTTCGCAAAAAATGGTAACTATTTTTTTTTTTTCAACAAACAAATAATATTAACGTTAAATGTCATTTCATTATCATTATATTATTGTTTCATTATTCCAAATTTTCTTCAGATCAGAAATGTTTATCAAAATAATCGATATGCAATTATGAAACTCGATTTTCCGATTCGATTTTCTGATAGTACTAAAATCTAAATGGTAATAACATAAATTGAAAGAACAGTGTTTTAACTTGGCGTTACTAATACATGTTCAAAAATTTTTAAATCAGCTAACCGATTATGGACAGTATATCCGAATTAACCAGTTCGGTTTGTAAAATATATATTATAATATATATATCTATTATACCATAAAACCATGCACTCCTGCGTTATTTCGAAATAAAGACTCGATGCACTGTTATTCAAAAGTGCATGTTATTTTCCAGGATATGCATATTATGCTATATTAAAGGAAACAATTTTCGAAATAATAAACGGTTACGAGTTTTATCTCAGTAATTTATCCGGCATTTATTATATTTATTATATTTATTATGATCATGTGAAATTTTTTGCCATGATATTTTTTTTGCATGAGGTTTCGTAATCATTTATGCGCTTTCATTATTGAGTTTTCAGTCATTATCGAATTTAAAATTTATGTTGTAATTCTACAAATTAAATAATATAAAAAAGATAATTGTAGCGTGCAAAAAATATCACATGGTCATATATAACTGCCGGGATAACAGATAACTGGGTATACGACAAATAACAGGAAATTTTTTTATACATACTGTATTTGTATGTATAATCATGAATATACTTGCCAACAAAATTCCAAACTACGTATTATAAAAATTAGTTTGTAAAACTCTGGTTTATTCTAAAAGAATAAATAATTTGGAAAATTTTAAATTCATTTTTTTTTTTTTTTATGAGGGAATGGTTTGGAATTTGAGTTTTGCCAGTGAGTATATAGTCAGATCTGCCCTGCACATTATTTGCTTTAGGTATTGACAAGTCCTAATAATACTAAATAAACAAGAACTGTCTTTTCTCGCAAATCCTAAATTATATCGATATGTAAAATAAAATCTCCGTTTATGCATTGTCTTCGATAATCTCGACAAAGTTTGTACATTTTGCCAAAAAAATAATAATAAACTGTATTAACTTTATCGTTACGATAACGATAATCTGTTTTAATCTTCCAATTAATAATATTATTATTAGTATCGGTATTGTAAAATATATATAAAATATATATTGTATGATATATACAGTATATAACGGCATAAATATATATATATATATATTTAAATAAATAATTAAGAGTTAGATCAGGTTGAACAAAGATGGAAATTTAAAACATTCCCATTCCGAACGTGCATTATCTCTTGGCAACATACATAAACTATGTACGCACTCATGAAGGGTGTGCATTTAAAGAAAGCAAACTATATAGAGAAACTATATGGCAGAGTATTTGTATAATGCAGCATTTAAATAGAGGTCTAACGAAGTTTGGTAATATAATTGTTAAAAAGAAAAAATTCTTTTATTTAAAGAAAAAATTAATACCTGCATCAGGAAATTTTAAAATCAATAATAAACTCGTTGTTTAATTTAAAAGAATAAACTTCGTACCTTTAAAGATAATCATTACAATATACAACTAAATATTTAACTACTTAGTTAAATAACATGCTGTACATTGTATATTGATATCTTATACATTGCAATGTTTAACGAAGCCCCTGTTTTTCAATGCTTTTTTAGATTTATTATGTGATAATACATATTTAAAGAAATATTTAAAGCTGTTTATACGTAATGCCGATACAAGCATAAAAATAAATTTGTGTAATATTTTATACTAAATACTGAAATACCGAAATACTGAAATTTTACATCAAGCATACGTATTACATAAATAATATAACAGCCTTCGTGACGAGCAATATAATCCTTTTATACAAAATAATTATCATTTATTTTCTATCTTCTATATGTAAAAGAAAAATCTACAGTTTACAAGTTTTAAAAGTTTAAATGATATAATTATGTTTTGTTTTTTTTTTACACACCCTGTTTTAAATCGTCCCGAATTTGAAAAAAATTGATAATATATAGTCCTTAAGCAAATTTAACCTATATTTCTTATTATTCAACTACAACTGAATTGTCAACTGAATTATCATCCAAATATCCCAACTCAGGAGGTATATATGAACTTTGAATATGGCCAATGAATGCAACGAAAGATATTAATATGAAAACGAAAGAATAATTAAATGGGAAACCTAAATTATTTATCAATGACCAAGACCATAGGAAGCCACCCAAAGCTGGACCAAAGGCACGAGCAAAAGATGCTAAAGTTTGACCAATTCCATTTAAAGTGCCAAGAACGTTTGATGTTGCCGAATTATTTATCTATAGAGAATGAATGATATAAGTTATTATAATTATTATAATTATTATAATTATTATTATTATTATTAATACCAGAAAGTGATTAGTGCTTCGGGCGAAATTGTCAGAAATATTTAAATATTTTCCCAGGTGAAATATTATAGTTCAATTAATTAAATATCAAGTAAATTAAATAAAGTTTCACCCTATGAATATTTCAGTTTCGCTCGAAACAATAATTTCAATGAAAAAAAAAAAAATTACCAAGATGAAAACTGTAGTAAAACATATAACGTTTAAAATGACTCTAAACATCAAGGTAAGGAGTAAAATAGACCAAGTAATTATAGTGACCATTTCTGAATTAATTTCGGACTCGATTAATTTTCTTCTAAATAGGCTGATCAACGGAAACATACAATAGCATGGAAAATAGGCGAGGAAAGCAGTTCGGAACATTTTCAACGTATCAAATTTAAGTCTTAAATATGGATAAAGTAGAAATTGGCAATTGAGGTGCAATAAGCCCGCAAAAGATAAAGTTAAAGCCAATTCAGTGGAACTAAATCCTAGACCACCATCACTAATAGCAGTAACGGCATAAATAGAGTATACTTCATCGAAAACGATAGTATGAAAACTTATTATAGCATAACTTGCAATCGTATAATAAGATATTTTAGAAATGCTATCCTTGGTAATAATTTTTTGCTCATTAGTTGAATCTCTGTCAATATCATTTGGTGTTATCGAACAAATATCATCAACACTAATTTTACTGCTATTGTTATCACTTATTTCATTAGAGGAGTTAATAGCACCATATAATTTCTTATTAGAAGTTAAGAAAGGTTTTCGTTCAGGATCAGATAAAGGTTTGTAATGACGTGTTTCAGGGAGCATAAAGAATCCTACAATGAATCCAGTAAAACCAACAAAAGCCGCAACGGCACACGGAAGAAAATAAGGAAACTGTTTCAAAAAAAGACAGTCTCCAAATATTCCAGGGAAACGGTCAACGGGATTTGCAAGATAACCACCGATCATTGGACCTTATCACGAATTAAATTTTGCATTATAATAATTAAATATAAATATAAATAAATATAAATATAAATAAATAAATAAATATATATATATAATATATCTTACCAACTATATTATATAATGAAATTAAAAAATTAATAAAATAATATATAATTAATAAAAATAAAAAAAAAAAAAAAAAAAGTTGTACAATACCGATGCAACCAAATCCCCAACAAAAGCCAAAGAGAGAAAAAGCTCTAGTTTGATTCGTTCGATCAGTTACCTCACCAAGCATACTTTTTGCAACACCAACGTTACCTAAGCATAATAAGTTAAGTAATTAAAAAAAAGATACAGACAAGTTTACTTAAATTAAAACTCACCATTTAGCATGCCGCAAGTTGCACGAGTTATAATGGCCCAAATGAGCGATTTACTAAGTCCAAATAACAAACAAGTTATTATATTCCCTAATAAACCAAATAGTAGGATTGGTCGTCTACCAATTCTATCAGAGAGCGATCCCCAAAACATCGCAAAACAAAATTGAGCGAAAAAGAACGATGATGCTAGTGAAAATTAATGACATCGTGAGTTATAACGATGTGTCACGTGATTAAGCGGATGAATCAAATTAAAAGCATTAAATTACCTATTAATCCTGCATATCTACCAATTTCTTTATCATCATCGCTAACACCGAAATCTCGTACCTAAAGTAGAAAATGTGATCCCGCTTTATAAATATTGTTGTTATAAGATATGATATATTTACAAGATATAAAATATTTTGAAAACTAACCATAAAATATACAAAAGGAAATAAGATTGTAGAGTTCATTGGCTCAGAAAATACAATCACACTCAATACAAACATTGTCATTTTTGGTAATGGAGTTTCTTTTCCGATTTTTCGTTCTTTCTTTTGAATACTCACGGTACGTATTTCCTGATCTGAATCATACGACGCGAATTTATTCGGTTTGGATACGCGTTTAGTTTTTGAACCTCTCGGTATCGTGGTTGTATGAGAAAATGGCTCGGAAACTTCTTGAGAACCATGCTGTTCTGATGCATTTAAGTCTAGTGAATTGTTCATGTCCTTTTTATTATATCAAAGATTAACAAAGCACTTTTTGATTTATATAATATCGAGTAAAATCGTACTGTACAGTAAAAGTAAAAGTGAAGCGTAATGTATTTAAAAGAAAATAAATATAACAGATAAGCGTAAATTTTATTTTCAGTTTCAGTATTTTTTAAAAAATTTGTTTGAGCTGGAAAAAAAAAAAAATCATACGTGCTACAATATAAATAAAAAAATGGAAAAACTTTTTTTCCAATTTCACGTGGACTAATTAAATTATACATTATTTATGTAAATATATATGGATACTGGAATATTACACATAATTCAGTAATTCAGATTAAACTTAGAATGTTCTTGAATTGTGGCGAAGTTGAAGAACAATACTATATGCTGATATGCATTTTCATAAGTTTTTCGTAGGTGCATTACGACAAGCTCAGCCCCCGGTTAACATTAGTCAGCTTCATACTTGATATCACTAACTGTATATTGATATTTTATCGGCATTGTTATTAATTCATATTTATCCCTATTAATTTAATTAATGTCTGCTTAATTATTAAATAGCATTAATAATCTTATAAAACGCACCTATGGTTACCTATGGTGGTTCTGCACCTACTACGCACTATATACAGTATATGTTTTTCTATATTTTTGTGGTTAGTATTTAGTGTTAATATTAGGGTTTAGAAAGACGTAGAATAATTTTACTAAGCAGTTAGAGCATCGCATATTAATTAATTGGCCAGTCTTTAACAGTTAAGATAATTCAGTAATTTAAAATAATACAATATAGGTGGTAAAACACCATAGGTGCGTTTTAATAAAAGTGATTATTAATATTGATCCGAAAAGGTTCAAGCTTTATTTTAATTGTGCACTTTATATGGAAATTCTTAATTTCTGACTTTAAACAAAAAAGATAATAAATACCTAAAATTCCATTCAAAATAAATTTGGTCAAAAAATCTGCAGAATTCTATGTTAAATAATGATTAACAGATACAGTTAACATTAAAATCAAATGACAACTAATTTTTAACGTATTTATCGATATTTCTATTCTCATCGTTCTCAACATGGTCATAGCATGTGATTGTTGACCAATAAATCCGGTTAAAAAGACAATAAAAGTAATCCAAAAATCGTAATTCGATATCTGATATATCAAACTGAGTACATTGTTACTGATTTGTTGATTTTATTCAATAACTCTAAATCAAGTTAAATTATCTGTAAAATTGACTGTCAAAAAAAAAGATGAGGTAATACCTTCTCGTACAAGATAACGTCGATATTACGTACAATACATGCATACTTCGAATTTATATATAATTTTTAAAAACAATCAATTGAATCCTCGTTTTGCACTAGAATATTGCATAAAGATATCGGTATGATTTAACCGACGAATTTGCATAAAGATATCGGTATGATTTAACCGACAAATACGTTAATGTTAATATAATATACCCGATTATTTAATACTTCACTATGATCAGTTTATAAAATAAATCAATTATTTTATGGTATTTTTAAATGATAAAATAAT